CGAACATCTTGCCAGGTCTAAAAGGCACCAGGGAGTACCATACGGCCCAGACTGCAATGAAACAACAATCAACCCCAGGACATGGCAGCACCCCAACCCCCCAAAGACGGTCAACGCCCCAGGCCAGCAGGAACTCTTCGAACATCTTGCCAGGTCTAAAAGGCACCAGAGTGGCCTGGACTACAATGAAACAACAATCAACCCCAGGACGTGGCAGCACCCCCAACCCCCCAAAGACGATCAACGCCCCAGGCCAGCAGGAAGCAGCCTTAAGACATCTTCGCCCCTACTTCCCTAACCTGCCACGCCCAATTCTCTAACTTTTATAATAAACAACAGCCGGGATTGTAAGAACAAAACACCTGGATGACCCTAACCCCGCCCCCTAACAAGCGGGTACTCACTCACCCGCTATATGCATTGCGACCTGTGAGGGGCAAAGCCCCACTGCGCATATGCAACCTTTCCTTTAAAAGGTCCTGCCACCCACCCCTGGCTCTCTTCCTTTCAGCTCCTTTTGGGTTGGCTGACTACCCATCCCCCGATTCTCCCTTTTCTGGTAAATAAACTCGACGTGGGTTGTTTATCCATTGTTCCTTTCTTTATATTAGCAGCTGCAGCTTAAACAAAAGAATAACAAAGAGTACAAGTAATGCTGTGTTTGTGAACAAATGAGGAGTGCTCTCTTTCTCTCTCTCTCTCTCTCTCTCTCTCTCTCTCTCTCTCTCTTCCTCATTGCCTGCTTGCTTTAGCTCTGGCTACTGAGTGTCTCCCCCCCCTCTGTGTGGTGTGTATTCACATGTACATGTTAGCATGCCTTGGTATGCGTATCAAGGTTAGAGTAGATGTCAGTGTCTTGCTCACTGTTGTGCTGCTAGTGAGCATCCAGACTTTCCACTCTTCATCTCCCATCTGGCCGTAAGAACACTGGATTAACAGACAGACACTACATTGCCAGGCTTCCTGTGATTTCTGAGGATCCAAACTCTCGCCCCCACACTTACTTGTAGGCACTTTCTCCACCATGCCCTCTTTCCTACTTCTGAAATTCACATTTTAACCACTATGCCCAGGTGATCTTCAAACTCACATAAATTTGGAACCCTTGTCACAGGCAGTCCCATTTACAAGGCAAGCAGCTTCACTGCATTCCTACACACCAGCAAAACCTTCTCAAGGGAACGTGGCAAAATAGCTCTGGAGAAACCACAGTTCCCAGAGGTGGAAACTTTGTTTTCTTTTCACAAACCAGCAAAAGGATACTGACTTTTCTCAGATAGAACAATAAAGTAACTTCAGGGTCTGCATTCCTCTCAATGACCTGTACACAGGAAATGATTATGTAAGTTGAGGCAGTTTCCATTTTGATCTCTAAATAGTAAGAATGATTGAGAACATATTTGTAGGTCTTACTTGCCTAACTCGATTAAACCTCACTCTTTGCAATTATGAAAGCATACAATGCTATATGATACATGGCCATACTTTGGCAAGCAAATGTTTGGCTTTGTTTCAGAGGATAAGCAATAAGTCTTTGAATTCAAACAAAATATGGGGTCAAGAAAATAATAAAAAGGCATAAAAATTGAAGAGCCAAATATTTAAAAATCTCTTGAATTCCTACAGTATTATAGAAGACATAGAATTAAACTGAGCATTTTAATTCTTATCATACACCAAACATGGTTTATGGTCTGTGTTCCCCATCCAACTTTGAAGAGTTAAGTAAGCAAGAGTTTAGCAGCAGTAGACAAACAGCATTCCTTTGGCAGCTGCAGGAAAAGATTCATATGAATCCCCAGCCCCTCCCTTTAGCATTGGTGTTCTAGAAGAATGGCCATCTCCCCAGGAGGAGGTCACAGAGCTCTGGAAAGGAGCCAAGAGATGAAAGCCAAGGTCTCTCCCATATTTGTTAGCCAAGAGCATATTGCACAATTGCCCTGAAACACAGCACACAGCACACAGCACACAGCACACAATGCCATAAGCTTGGTTTAAACTTTCCTGACCTTTTCTTATGCCAATAGTGCTGAGAACAGGGTGTTGGGTTTCCCATTCCACACAATTGTCAAGGACATCGAGCATATATGCAAAGGGCATATTGCTGTCATTTATGTCTTGTGTAGGTGTCAAGTACTCAGGATAGAGCGGTAAAAAGACACTTCAGCTTGTTCTCTCTAGTGGGTTATGACTCCTGATTTGTTTATTTGCTTGCACATAAACATTTGTTTACTTCCTTCCTTCCTTCCTTCTGAAGGTCTCATTACATAGACCTTCATGTCCCAAACTCACTTTGCAGACCAGATTGGCTTCAAACCTCCTCCTATTCTAGGATTCCAGGCATGAATAACATTCACACTAACACTTCTTGTCTGGCTTTCCAGTATACTTTCTCTCCCATTTGTATTGACTGAAGGTTTTTTAATTATTTGTAAGTGACCTGAAGACTTTGGATTCTGGATGTGTGTGTGCAAACATGTGAAAGTACTGTTTGGGGACATAGATGTTTGAGTTGGAGCTGGAAAAGGAGGTTTGAGGAAGAAAGAGAGAGAGAGAGAGACTCCTGTTGCAGGGAAGCCAGTGCCTGATGCTTACATAGGTGCATTCAAATGTGAGGTTTGGTCTCCAGACTTCCCCTCTTGTCCCCAACACATTCCATGCATGTTGTGGGTTCTCTCTTCTTCCCTCCTTTCTTCCCCAAGAAGCATGGCAGGTTGCTAGATCTAGCCCTACCCCCACCCCCTCCCTCCACCCAGTACCTTCATTTTGGCAAAGTTAGTAACAGATTGCTTCTACCAGCGTTTCTTATGCACATTTATTAATTACAGTGTAGAACACTTACTTTTTTTCCATTCACAAAGAAAACAAGTTCATCTGAGTCCTTAGAAGGAGACATGACTTGACGACAGTCGCCAGTGTTTTGTGCAGTTGTGTTTAAAGCTCCTGTCCCGGAGACAGACTTTCTGAAGAACTGTAGAGCTCTGAGGAGGTTGAGGAACCCAGCAGGATGTGGGCTTTGTCTGCTGGCTCCTCCCACCCAGCCCTGTCCCATCAAAGCTCCCTACCTTCTTCACTCCTCTCCTCTGTGTCTTCCACTTTCCTCTTTCCTTAAACCACCCTGGAAGGGCCTTCCTGTCGTAGCGCATGCTCAGTACTTAATCTGCCTCGGGGCAACCACAGGAGGGCCTTTTCCAAAACAATTGCTGGAGTTGGTGAAGTGGAAATGAAGCCAACACACTGCTTTCAGAGCAGTGACTTGGCCCGAAGTGTGTTTGTTTGCTAATTTGGACTTTAATCTATAAAAAGAATATTTTAAGAAATGACACAAGTGTGAAAAGCAAAAAAATAATGTTTCTCTGTGCTAACATTTAGCAACCGGATTCTTGTGGTCTTTCAAAGTTTCAGAAGGAACTTAGATTACATATAGATGTCTTCAAACATCATTTTTGTTAGTTTCTTAACAATAATTTTGTTATTTTCTAAAAGGTGAAATTGAATGAACTGTTCACATGGCTTCAAAAGTGACTTTATTCTCTCTGCCTCAGTGGTTTTTCCTGTGAGTTGGGCAACACAGTAGGACCTTTATCAGGGCTGTTGTCGGGCTCAAAGGAGCCAATGCTGGGACAGTGCTAAAAACAGCAGCTGCCAGGGGAAAGCCCCCAGTAAAAGTTATTGCCAAACACCCTCCTTGGTCACCTGTGGATATACATCATGAACTGTTCAGATTTCTAGTTATGAACATGCCACAGGGCTGGAGAGGGCTCAGCACTTTAGCGCACTTCCTGCTTTGAAGGGTAGCATATGACCTCATGTATCTCCAGCTCCAGGGGTATCTGACACCTCTCTCTGGTTTCCTTGGGCACCAACACACACACACACACACACACACACACACACACACACACACACACCTCAGTTATTAAACATATGCTGCAGTGGAAATGGAGCTTTATTATGCTGCAGTGGAAATGGGGCTTTATCTTTGCATATTTAGAGGCAGCCTGTACTTGCCCCCCTCCTTTCTCTCCTTTCTATTTTTATTTATTTATTTATTTATTTTAGACAGGGTTTCAGGGTTTCTCTGTGTAACAGCCCTGGCTGTCCTGGAACTTGATTTGTAGATCAGACTGGCCTGGATGTCACAAAGATCTGCCTGACTCCTGAGATTTGGGATCAAAGGCGTGTTCCACAACATCTGGCCATCCTTCCTTTTATTTGAGCAAGGTTTTTTTTTTGTTTGTTTTTTGTTTCTGCTTTTATTCTTGTTAATTTTTATTTTAAAATTAGGATAGAGAGCAAGCAGCTTCCCTATGGCATCTCATACACACTTTGGCTGAGCCCACTCCTCATTAGTGTAACAGGAATTCTCTCTCAGGGCTCATGGCATCTGATTTCCATGCATGTGGAGTTATGTGGAGTGTGAGGTCATGAAGCCAGAGAAGGAACCGCAACAGGAGAAAGGTTTTAAGGAAGGGGTTTGGAGGAGGCACTAGAATAAGTCGTGTGGTGGAGAGAAGAGGACTGCTTGGGGTGAAGGAATCAGACAAGAACTCCTGTGGGACAAATTCTCAGAACTGGAATTCCTGGCTTGGAAGTGAGTATAGTTCTGGAGGCCACTTCCTCCTAAGTGATGTGTCCCATATGTGTCACATATAACAGGGTGTGACCTTCTCATCTCCACCACACTGTTATGCACACTGTCGCTTCCACTGAGGGCAGTCCACAGTCAGCTGGCATTTCTTTTCTTAACCTGAGGTTATCCGTGTGCTATATATTTAGTGAATATCTCTGGTTTTTTGTGTCCCATTATTTCTGTCAGTTGTTTGTTTGTTTGTTTCTTATTTGGGAAATTTTAAAACATGCAGTGGATAGCAGCATAATCTATAAACGCCCAGCTCCTTTCTGCTAGCCAATTGTCCCTGAGGTAGAACACTGTGTAGAGTCTTTCACAGCACACCTCTGCATCCTGAGAGGTGGGACTTCCTACCTGAAGCCCCAGCTGTGTCCCTGCTAGGCCACTGCAGCACTGTCAGTCTTGAGTGTGTCTGGTAGCACAGAGCCCGAGTGATGTGGGTGGGCTCCACATTCACACTTGGCTGCAGACTCTTCTGACACGCTGTTTCACGAGATCTTCAGATGACAAGTGTAAATGTGAGTCCTTGGAATGTGAGGGCTGTCACAACCTATCACACCCTGTGTCAGCACTGGGCTAACTGAGGAGGAGAGAGACCATGACATTTTGTCTAGTTGCTTGATAGGTAACTGTTATCATGGAAGCTTTTTTGGGGTGCCAACATTTTATGGTGGTTCAAGTGAATATTGCCCCCATACACTCATGTATTGCAATGCTTGTTCTCCAGTTGGCAGAACTGTGTGGGAAGGATTGGGAGGTGTGGCCTTGTTGGAGGAGATGTATCACTGGGGGTGGGATTTAGGGTTTAAAAATACCACGGCATCCCCAGTTAACTGACTGCCCCCCCACTCACACCTCATGGTTGTTGTCTCAATATCTAAGCTCTCAGCTACTGCTCCAGCCCTGTGCCTGCTGCCACGTTCTCTGCCATGATAGTCATGGACTCTACTATCCTCTGGATCCATGAGCCTCAAATTAAATACTTTCTCTTCTAAGTTGCTTTAGTCATGATGTTTTATCATAGCAATAGTAATGTAGCTACGAAAACTGTGATATAAAACCCTCACACATTGGGCGGTGGTGGCACACACCTTTAATCCCATTACTCAGGAGGCAGAAGCAGGCGGATCTCTATAGGTTCAAGACCAACCTGGTCTACAGAGTGAGTTCCAGGACAGTCTCCAAAGCCACAGAGAAACCCTGCCTCAAAAAAAAAAAAAAAAACAGAAAAAGAAAAAAAACCTTCACAAATTTGCTTACTGTCATCCACTTATACACTTATTGTCTAAACCTCCCCACCCCCACTCATCTCTTTTATGCTCTGAATACCTGGCCATGCCATCTGTTACCCATGGTTATTCTATCCATGGGACACTTGCATTAACCAGAATAAGGTGATAACCACGTTCACCATCTAAAATTCTGTTCATTGGTAAAATATGTCCCTCACCAACTGCTAGAGAGACTGTCATGCATACGTGCCATCCTGTCCTTACCTACATCTGGTGCCAACCAACCTGTGAACAAGAAAGGGTTAGGGTTAGGGTTAGGGCTAGGGGTTAGAGTTAGGGTTAGGGTTGATCACACTGTCATCAGGGACACTCACCTTTGCTCCATGGTGGAGTGTGAGGTGAGGTGTGAGCTGAGGGAGAGATGCTGACCCAGGATGGGGTATATCTGGGGTCTGGGTACTTATCACTGCCTGACCCCACCTTCCCTTACCTCTTGCACCTTACTCTGGATGCTCTACGTCCATCCTTCTCATTGCCACAGGGCTTTCATCCTAACAAGAAACACTGCAGGGAGGTAGTCAGTCAGACACGTAAGAATGTTTTCCAGGCAGTGGAAAGATGCAGGAGCTCCAAAAGAAGGACAGGATATGGGAATCCATGACAGAAAAGGGGACTGTGAGACAAGGTTGGGTAGATAGACAGGGTCTAACTCACATAGTGGACATATGCACCCTAGGGATCCAGGATAAGATCCCAATGAGGTGAGTAGGATGCCACTGGAGGTTAATAGGCAAGAGCATAGCATGTGCGTGTGGCCTCTGATGTGTCCAGAATGGATGACGATGTGTCTCCATAAGTCCACACAAAACTTTGGCTTCAAAGTGAAGAACAATTGGGAAGAGAAGCAAGAGGCAACTATTGCAATAGCCAGGGGCAAATGAAGGTGGCTTGCAGTGACAGCAGCTGACGAAACAGTGAGGTCATTAAGAACTGTTTCTGAGGGGGACTGACAGGCTGTCATGCCTGCCAAGTTGTGTTCACAAATTGGGCAGTTCTGACTCTCCATTTCTGGCTAACAACTCAGAGACAGTTCTACTATTGGGATATTTGTTTGGGACACATTAGGCCTGGGGGTCTGAGACATCCAAGTCACAATCGAAAGCAAGACTTGGAGCGAGTGGTGGCATGTGCTTGTGATGCCAGCCCTTAGTGGTCAACGGCAGAAGATCCCCATGACTGTGAGGTCTGTCTAGTATATAGAACACATTCCTGCCAGCCAGCATCAACAGACCTTGTCTGAATGTCTGCCTGGTCACCATCAGAGCACTGTGTTCAGAGTTAGAGCCTCAGCAACAAAACCATTTCTAAGGTGGAGTAATGGTCACTGCCAGCATCAGGCTGTGGGGTGAGGAGAATGAAGGCACCCCCACAGGAGGCCTCCACTTGGAGGGATGGGCTACAGGAGAAGCCAGCAAAAGTCCACAAGTGAGGCAGCTGCCAGGGAGATGGGAGAAAGCAGAGAACTGCCCAGCCTGTTTTCCCTGTCCTCAGCCATCTAACAAGACAGGCTTCAGTGAGAACCCTTAAAATTGAAGAATGCTTCATTCTCCATCAGATTTCCTGTAGGCAAGGCTGTGGGGCATATTCATGATTGATAATTGATGGAGTCCACTGTGGCAATGCCACTCCTGTGCTGGTATCCCTGGGGTGATTAAGAAAGCAGGCTGAGCAAGCCGTGGAGAGCAAGCCAGTAAGCAGCATTCTTCCATGGTTTCTGCCTCTGCTCCAGCTTGTGTCCTTGCCCCTTACTGCCCTTAATGATCAATTGTGATTGGGACGTGTAAGTCAAATAAACCCTCTCCTTCCAAATTGCTTTTGGCCATGGTATTTATAACAGTAACAGATGGCAAACTGGAACAATGTATATGATTTTGTTGATTTCCCTACAGATATCTCCACCAATGAAAACCCCACATTTATGAGCAATCACTTCCAGTTCCTCTGTCCCCTCAGGCCGTAGCAACCACTCAT